TGCAGCTCGGCGCTTTGCTGGAAAAAAGTGCCAGTCTAGACGCAGATCTTTCAGAAAATAAAGCCTTTTCTGAAAGATCCCTTATCCCTCATTGAAAATAAAGCCTTTTCTGAAAGATCCCTTATCCCTCATTTATAATTCCCTAATTTATAATGAGGGATAAGGGATCTTTCAGAAAAGGCTTTATTTTCCGAAAGATCTGCGTCTAGACTGGTGCTTTTTTCCGGCAAAGCTCCGAGCCGGAAAAAAGCGGAAGCCATCTTTATGCTAATGAAGCGGGGGAGATTTAAATCCCCACTTCATTTGCAATTGCGATATGTCTAATTTGCATCCCTTTTACGGAAAAGGGATGCAGTCTAGACACAGCCTATATGTTTTACAATCAAAGACTTGAGCCAAAGTCCACTGAAATCAATAGGCTTTGGATCAGGTCCCTAGGGACCATGTTCCCTTCTCCCGGAGCAAGTGTGTAATGTAGGTGAAAGCAACGGATACCAAGTTATGGACACAAACTGAAAACATCATTCTGAAAAAATGTGTTTGCCATCCAAGCAGGAGTTACCCCACCCTACACAAAGGAATGTAGTTTTCCCCACCTGGGAGTTACTTCCAAAGCACTTTGAAAGACAGTGAGAACATATTTACATTGCTTAAACCAGTGTTTCTCAACATGGACCATGAAACGACTTTGAGAAACTTGCTAACTGGCCACTGGGGTTATTTATTTAACGACACTGTGGCCATGTAGCCTCATGGCTCTGGTTCATCGTTTGCAGCCAAGGGGGGCTACGGGAAGCAGCGTGGGCCTGGCTGTTGCTTCCCACAGCTCTTCTTGGCTGCAAACAGTGAACCAGAGGCAATGGGAGCTGCAAGGCTCCATAGCTGCAGAGCCAGTAAATAAACAAACTGGAGTGGACAGTTAGCACGTTTCTTAGTGTGGATCCGCAGACCACTTTGAGACACACTGACACAGGTGAGGAGCCTAACTCTTAGACTCTTTTGGGACAGTGATTAGGGTGCTCTCATTTTCCACAAAAAATAAGAAAGGTCTCTATTTTGTCTGAGGAAAAGGTGGGGAAAAATTAAATCTCAACATTTTCACAGTATGAGAAAGCGGTTCCTCACCCTGCTCTACCAAATCTGCCCTTCACTTGTTGCTGTGCCAGTTTTTCCATCTGTAGAATGGGAACAATAACGGAGACCAACCTCAATACATTTTTTGAGGTTTTTAGTTGAAAAGTGCCAAGTAAACATAACGGCTACGTCTAGACTGGCATGATTTTCCGGAAATGCTTTTAACGGAAAAGTTTTCCGTTAAAAGCATTTTTGGAACAGAGCGTCTAGATTGGCACGGACGCTTTTCCGCAAAAGCACTTTTTCCGGAAAAGCGTCTGTGCCAATCTAGACGCCCTTTTCCGCAAAAAAGCCCCAATCGCCATTTTCGCGATCAGGGCTTTTTTGCGGAAAACAAATCTCAGCTGTCTACACAGGCCCTTTTGCGCAAAAGTTTTGCGCAAAAGGACTTTTGCCCAAACGTGAGCAGCATAGTATTTCCGCAAGAACACTGACAATCTTACATGAGATCGTCAGTGTTCTTGCGGAAATTCAAGCGGCCAGTGTAGACAGCTGGCAAGTTTTTCTGGAAAAGTGGCTGATTTTCCGGAAAAACTGGCCAGTCTAGACACAGCCAACCTGTTTGACTCTATTGCACCAAATGTGTGCTAGAGTCTTTATAGATATGAAGACAAGGACCCTGCCCTGATGAGTGTATAATCTATACAAGTGACACAAAGACTTAAAATGGTGGATAGGAGCAATGATTTTATTACACAAGTTATGATTAATACAAGATATCATATTGTTCATAGGATATATTCTGTATGGATATTATTTTCAGACTTGGATGCTTAAAGTTAGGTATATACATCTATATTTACAAGTACAAGATTGAATCTCCTATTGAGTTTAGTGGAAGAGCTACAGTCACTTATGTGGGTCCTGAGATGAGATCAGAAACCAATTTCTGACCTGCAGCCCTGTCTGCAATTACAACCGGTGAAGGCAATTGTAGATGAATATGAATTGTTTTTAGCTTTACACCTCACATAGCTCTCCTTGATTGCAGGAGTCCTTGAGCTCTCAAAATCTTTCAGTCTGCGATGACATGGCAGAGTTGGCACCACCTGATTTTGTCATGGCCAAGAGATTCCACATGTTTGGATCATTGTAAATGTGGTGGTTAGCCTTGAGAGAGTCATTGTAACATTTTCTTGATCTATCCCTAGACTGAACAAGAAAATTAATTAAACAGGAGCTAATTTTTCAAACATGTTATCAAGAATGTAAATTTATTTGTAATTTGATTTTCAGATTTGGGTCCTTAATCACCTCCATCTGTATGTAGGCAACCAAATATTAGTTCTAGGCCCCTACATACTGATTTTTGGCAGTAAAATCCCTATTTAGATGCCTATATCAGCCTGATTGTATATCCTACTGGAATTTAAAAGTGCTGCAACTACTCTAGTTGTGTCCTGCAACAACAGACCACTCAAAGACATTGACAAATTTTGCTACTGAGGCCATGTCATTTTACTAGATAGAGTGATTAACAATAACGTTATGATGTGCATAGGTGCAGCCAGTGATACTTTTGGAAAACTTCAGTGTAGTCTATGAAATGAATATGGTGTCAAACTGCAAATAAAAATGGATGTTTACTACACCATTATCATCAGCAAACTTCTCTATGTTTGTGATACATGGACTGCTAATCAAAACTCTGTGCTGGGAACCATTCCACCTCTGATGTCTGTCATGGTGGATAATGGGAAATAAATGGTAAGATTTGGTTCTAAACCCCAAGGTCCATGAGTGCCGCAGCCTCACAGGCATTGATGCTTTTATAGTAAGGGTACGTCTAAACTACATGGCTCCGTCGACGGAGCCACGTAGATTTGTTGTTTTGGCAAAGTCAAATGAAGCCGCGATTTAAATGATCAGCTGTTTGTCCGCTCAGCGCGCTAGTCTGGACGCTCCCCTGCCGACATCAAAGCCCTTTGTCGGCAGCCCCGTTATTCCTCGTGGAATGAGGTTTACCGGGGCTGCCGACAAAGGGCTTTGATGTCGGCAGGGGAGTGTCCAGACTA